CTCGTGGGGCTGTCATGCAAACTCGAGGCAACAGTCTCTAGAGCTGCCCATAATTTTACTAAACGGTTATTAAATGGAAATCTAAGCAGAGACACATCTTGGAACAGTGGCCCTAAAAAACCTTTTAGAGAATAGAAAAGCACAGCTACTGAAAGGGACATAATCTGGACATTTATAATCTTTGTAATTTGATGAGTGAAACTATTCAAATTGCACACTGGTTCAACCAATTAGTTAAAAGTTATTTTGCATCTGGGTCTTCGACAGTTTTCAGGCGTACATACCATTGTTGTTGTTGTTGTTGTTGTTGTTGTTGTCAGGAACAGTATAGACTGGTATCAGTAACTGTGTCACTTGGCATGGAGACATGAAGCAACCACAAAAGAATCGTCTTCAGGTCTTCCCAGAAATACTGACCGCATAACATACAATGGGACGTTAACCAACAGGAACACACCTATGAGATACACGATTCATGTCACCGAGCGGCAAATGCTTGTGCGATGTTTTATGATTCAAACCTCTGAGATTGTCATTTACGAAGCTTTTAAAAAAGTAGAGCAACGGACCCTTTCCCACGCCTTCAGACTTACTGGGCATCTAGGGCTGGACGCAGATTTAATAGACGAATTCGCACTCGCTGTGTGACGTCATCAACATCATACCGAGCGCCTTTACTTCCTACGACTTTACCTGGCACCTTTACGAGGCTGAATCGGCCGAGGTCGTTTTTGAAAAGTCTTGCTTTTTTCAGATGTGAACCCACGATCTTCTGATCTGCAGGTTAGCGCTTAGCCGCTACACCGCGGAGGCTCATCGAAGTTATTACTCCGTGCTTAATAATGTTTTTTTTTTTCTTTCAAGGGGAGAAAGGTGACTTTGGACCGCAGGGACTTCGCGGAGAGATGGGACCGCCGGGTCTCCACGGCCTCAACGCAACAAAAGGAGAGATGGTGCGTGTTTGTGACCGTTTTTAAAACAAACAATAATTCTTTCCTATTTTGACCATTGTCCATATCGCTAGGGATCATACAATAATGTCGAGTTGGTTACTTGATTTGATTGACTGGTCTGTTTGAATGTCTTGTCTGTTTGATTGGTTGGTTAACTGGTCGCTAGGTCTTACTGGCTGCTTGACTAGCGAATTAGGGATGAAGGTGCTACATGTCTAGCTAACTGACAGTGAATGTAAATGTTCACACACACAAACAAGTTGCTTACGAAACTATATCGCCCTAGTTCGGCTTTCTATCAACTGTTTAACTGTGACGCCAAGCTGCACAAGCCAGATATTGCCAACAGAAGAAGGACAAGTTAGAGAATGCTCGGAAACATCCAGTTTTAACAGTTAACTCCCATGTTTTGACAAGCATGTCCTTTGACCCCAGAAAACAGAAATGAAGTCTACATATATACTTTCTTCCCGATCCTAGTACGTTGTGCCGTCTCCGCAGGGATTTTTGTGCGGAACTGCCCCGTTCCCACTCCCACACAGGTAACCGTGTCCAAACCCAGAAACCAGCGGGGAATAGCAGACTAGCACTGGAACTTCACATCTCTGAAGAAACAAGTCGAGACCAGGTCATATCACAGCAAATACTCATCATCGTCATAATGTCCATGTTTGCCTTTAAACGGCGTGGGAAGGAACAAGTTGCGATCCAGCGCTTGACAGGCAGCTCTGTCAACGTAAAAGGTCTTTGGTGTCACCAGTTCAAATTTTTGTCTGGAGACCTCTTGCTTTCACATCTGATCTTTCATTGTAGCTCCTGTGCTGGTAGTTGTTGTGGCTGCATTTTAACTAATGACCAAACCATTCAATTATTACCTCAGTTTCAGTTGTGTATCCTTATATTATATCTTCTACATGTTAACGTGAACCTGTTTAGATTGACTTGTTATAGTTTACATTTAACTAGGTAAAATTAGGCCTGAGTTGGTTAACGCCCCCTTCACCACCCCGGGGGCAGCAGTGTGACTGATCACCACATCTTAACGAACTACGGTGCAGACCGCTTAAGGTGATATCGCATCTGGCGAATTTCTGTTGTGAAGAACAATTTGTTTATCCCGGAAAATTTTTCTTGCTTATCTGAAAAAGAGGAATTCCTGAAAAAAGAACCATGTCTTGGGTCCCCTGGGACTTCTCATTATCAGGTCTACACTGTATGTCAAGGTTTGGGATGAATAACAAGTAATTGACATACAGTAATTACATCGTGCAGGCTTTGACCTCACCCGCCTTCTCCGCAAATGTCGCAGACTAAACATTGGTCACTATCATTTGCTATAAAATATATTTTAACGTTTACATTTAGGGTCCTCCCGGAGCCCCTGGCCCACTTGGCCCACAAGGAGTCCAAGGACCGCAAGGGCCTCAAGGAAGGGATGGCTTGCAAGGATCACCTGTAAGTGGCAAACACAGATAACTTTCATGCTTTATGTCATGTTTTGTTTTGTTGGTGGTCACCAGTTCTTTCATTTTGTTGTCTATTATGTTTACATTGAAAAGACGTACAGAGCTATGTATAGAGTCAGACTTTGGGGCTGAAGTGCGTAAGTATTGCAGCCTTGTTTTCTGGAACAAAAGAAAAACAAGAAAGAAAAAAAAAGTTAACGAAGAAAAAAAGAAGCAAAGAAAGAAAGAAGAAGATAAAGAAGAGAAGAAGAATAAGAGGGTAAACATGTTTCTTGCTTTCTTTTTGTTTCTTTTTCTTTCTTAAATGAGCTAACTTTTTTGGATTATGTATAGATGAAGTTCCAGATCACTGAGAACCCTGGTTAACATTACTCTTGTCAGAAGTGAGGGACACACACAGAACAATCTCTCAGACCTAAGAGTGGACACGGGGACAGCACAGAACAATTTCTCAGTCCTAAGAGTGGACACACAGACAGCACAGAACAATCTCTCAGACCTAAGAGTGGACACGCAGACAGCACAGAACATTCTCTCAGACCTAAGAGTGGACACACAGACAGCACAGAACAATCTCTCAGACCTAATAGTGGACACACAGACAGCACAGAACAATCTCTCAGACCTAAGAGTGGACACGCAGACAGCACAGAATAATCTCTCAGACCTAAGAGTGGACACGCAGACAGCACAGAACAATTTCTCAGACCTTAGAGTGGACACACAGACAGCACAGAACAATCTTTCAGACCTAAGAGCAGACACAAATACAGCACAGAACAATCTTTCAGATCTAAGAGTAGACACGCAGACAGCACAGAACAATCTTTCAGACCTAAGAGTGGACACGCAGACAGCACAGAACAATCTTTCAGACCTAAGAGTGGACACAAATACAGCACAGAATAATCTCTCAGACCTAAGAGTGGACACGGGGACAGCACAGAACAATCTCTCAGACCTAAGAGTGGACACGCAGACAGCACAAAACAATCTCTCAGACCTAAGAGTGGACACCACACAGACAACTCAGAACAATCTCTCAGACCTAAGAGCGGACACAAATACAGCACAGAAAAATCTCTCAGACCTAAGAGTGGACACGCAGACATCACAGAACAATCTCTCAGACCTAAGAGTGGACACCACACAGACAACTCAGAACAATCTCTCAGACCTAAGAGCGGACACAAATACAGCACAGAAAAATCTCTCAGACCTAAGAGTGGACACGCAGACAGCACAGAACAATCTCTCAGACCTAAGAGTGGACACGCAGACAGCACAGAACAATCTCTCAGACCTAAGAGTGGACACACAGACAGCACAGAACAATCTCTCAGACCTAAGAGTGGACACACAGACAGCACAGAACAATCTCTCAGACCTAAGAGTGGACACACAGACAGCACAGAACAATCTCTCAGACCTAAGAGTGGACACACAGACAGCACAGAACAATCTCTCAGACCTAAGAGTGGACACACAGACAGCACAGAACAATCTCTCAGACCTAAGAGTGGACACACAGACAGCACAGAACATTCTCTCATACCTAAAAGTGTCACGTGATATCACTTGGGTCACCTAGACCTGGCATTCATTGACGGGCTATCAAGAAGGTGGAAGATAATTGTCTTTGCTTTAGCTGTTAACGTTTTCCTTTTCTTCGTGCCCCCCTGTTTGCCCAGGAAATGTAGGTTATTTACTGTCAGCATATTGACTAGCCATGTAACACGATTGGCAGCAGACAGGGCAGCACAGAGACCAATGTAATACAGATACAACGAGAACAGAGTCAGAGAACGTCTACGTAGATGTACCTCGGAAATATCAGAGACAATTGGAAAAGTGCTGCATACGAAGCGAACAGAAGGGCCTATTTAAAAGGTCGATTTATGCGGTGACGTTGCAAGGTATTCCAGGAGTAGTGGAAAGAAGAAGAAGAAGGATTGTTGGAGACCACAATCCAAGGCTCAGAGGGAAGTGTGAGGAGTCACCCAGTGGGACCGCTGGCCCGAGCGGTTTAAGACCGCTGGGGTCTAATACGGTGGACTGGTTCGAATCCTCGCTGAGGTAATGGAATTTGTCCCGATTGTCGGAGACCAAAATGCCATCCTACCCTGTACAGTTCTAGGCGACTGCGCTAACAACGCAGCCTGACAACCTCAGGCTCACAAGCCACCTCTACGACAGCGTCCTAAAGAGTGCTAAACACATGCAGAAAAAGTGAAGCTGTAAAGGACCCTTTTTCACACCTTCAGGCGCATTGGGCATATAGGGCTAGACCTATATTGTACAAACCAATCGGAATTTGGTGGGGGATCACGCTAACCACCTTTACTTCTCAGCACTCTACCTGGTACTCATTTAAGACTGGGTCGACAGTGAAGCCAAGGTTATTGTTAAAAAGAAAAGGTCAGCTTCGTCGAGACCTGAACCCACGACCTTCAGATGCATAGGTGAGCGACTATCAGCTACACCACGGCTGCTGCAAGATACATGCAGTAATGACAGGTTAAAAAAAAAACATAAACGTATAGTGCGTTGCTTTGTGCAAAATGATGTTCTATCTTCGCAGGGCAAGCGAGGTCACAGAGGCAAGACCGGGTTCACAGGCTTTCCGGGACCTCAGGGACCGCCCGGTGAACCCGGCGAACCCGGACTACGGGGAATGAAAGGCTCGCTGGGACTTCCCGGACAACAGGTATGATATGAATACATGAATAAATAAATGAATGAATGAATTGAAATCAATGCACTCGGGTCATTCCAACACGTGCTCCGCCTCCCTCTTCAGTAGCCAACGAAGACTCGACATGCCGACAGTACCAGTTAAATCCTCTTGAAATGTTCGCCTGTTCCCCCCCCCCCCCCACCTCCTCTCCTTCCCCAGGTGTTGAACATCTCCCAGAACCTCTACTCTCACCCCCAGCACACACGTACCCCTTGGAATTAGTCTTTCAGTGTATGGATTCTCTGTCAGTTCTATGCACTGTCCATTTAATCCCA